TATCCTCTCCCCATGGCACACAGCTGTTGCAGCCTCCTGGGTCACATGGCAGCATGTATCTATGTGGTTCAGCATTACAGGCTGCATCTCAGGCATGGCTAGCATCAGTGTATGCCCCAAGTTGTCATCATTTGCACAAGGTTGTTCAAGTGTCAATGCTAGTTTTGACATCTCTGGATTAGTGGATGGACCCTCTGAAAGTGTGTGTGTGGGTCTTCTTTATCCCCACCACTCACCTCTTTATCCTCATCCACATCAACCCTCACTCTGTTCACAGACATATTAGCTCTGAGTTGGGGGGAGGGGGGGCATATGGGGTCCTTGCAGACTCAAGTTCTTTGGTTGTCTCAGGATCTAATGGCTCATATAAATGTTAGGGAATTGAGAGCTGTAAAACTAGCCTGTTCAGCTTTAGTAGGAAATAACTTGTTAATTTGAACAGATAACTCCGTTACTACTGTATTTTACACACACAGAAAGGGAGGAGCCCAGTTGACCTAGTTAGACCAGGAGGCAATTCACTTCTGGGACTTTTGCAGAACCAATTCAATTCATCGCAGTGCTGCTTACCTTCCAGAGAAGTGGAACATGTTGGCAGATCGACTGAGCAAGACCTTCTCCAATCACCATGAGTGGTCTTTATGCCTGAACATTGCCAGATCTATCTTCCAGATCTGGGGACTCACTTCCCAGGTGGACCTGTTTGCAACAAAGTCTGACAGAAAATGCCACCAGCTCTGTTCCCAGGGAGCTCTCTGCCCAGGCTCATTGACAGATGCTTTCTGCTACCCTGAAAGAACCCCATCCTGGATGCTTTCCCTCTGATTCCCTTGCTGCCAGAGTCTTGTTCAAAATCAAACAAGACAATGCTCATCTCATCCTGATAGCACCAGTGTGGCCCTCACAATACTAGTATTCGACCCCACTGACCTTGTCAATCAAACCTCCACTGTCTCTCCCGCTGGATCCAGATGTGATTTCTCAGGACCACGGCCACCTGCTCCATCCCAACCAGCAAGCCCTCCACCTGACAGTGAGGATGCTTCCATGATTAATGTCTTTGGAGACATCCTGTTCTGAGGATGTCCAGAAAGTACTTCTCAGTAGTAGAAAACCCTCAGCTAGGGGCCCTTACCTAGCTAAATGGAAGCACTTCTCCATTTTGGTCCTCTCAGAAAGGCATATCCTCAGAGCATGCACCCTTGAACCTTGTATTTGACTATCTTCTCTACCTAAAACATCAGAGTTTGTACCATCCCCTGTTCCTTCTCAGCCTCAGAAAAAGTTGTCATGAGGGAAATAAAGCAACAACTGGTAAACATCAGGGTAGTGTGCTTCATACTAGAGCAGTAGACATTGCCATAAGGGCTCTAAGGCTAGCCGTTCTATCACTTCAAGACCACATTTAACCTTAAATTACTGGATAAACAACCAAGTAGGGCAGGGAGAAGAACTCTGGTCTGCGAATCAGCAGTAGGCAAAACAGCACTTACTGTCACTCAGAGCAAGCCATCCAATGTGACTTCTCAATCCGCAAGCAACGTAGTTCAACTGCCAGCATTTTCTTCCAAGTGAGTGGTCCCTGCAGTTCCAAATTCACCAGACAATCTGCTATTGCTAGGGAACAGCAACAAATATGAAACTTCCCATGTTTTTGCAGCAGGTTCAGCGATCCCAGGGGATGGACTATGGATTAATTTTTCCTGCAGTCTGGACAGTGATCTGACATACTTTTTCTACCAGTCCTTATTTCTTCTTAAATACCAAGAGATTGCAGAAACTGAAAATGGCCAGAGCATATCTAATCATGATCCTTCTGGATTTTGGACCTTGGTCATGGTACTGTGAATTCTTGAGTCTGTTATTTCCAGCAATACCAGACCTACTGACTGATAGAATTCCTGCCGGAGTATATTTTACTTTGTATCCTAAAGTTAAAAAGTGTCACCCCCCTACAGGATTCTGTCCAACTGTCTTCAATTGAATCTCACCTCCTGCCATCTTCATTCAGGAATCATAAACAGTCTGTCCTCCTGGTTCTTGGTCAGTGATTGCCACTTGAGTCTTCAATATGATCCTTCATAAAATGTGTAGCCTCTTGTTCAAGCCCATGCATTCTGTTTCTACTGGCTTTCTATTAAGATAATTTTCTGGTGGTCATTACATCAGCATGTAGAGTGGAGAAAATCAATGCCCTTTCATGCAATTTCGCTTTTATTATCTTTCATAATGATAGTTACACTCTGGATGGTTCCCAGTTTCAGACCCAAAATAACTCTAGGTTGCAGAGATAACAGGTCACTAGCCTTTTGTCCTTTTGTACCAATTTCATTTCAGACAAGGAGAAGGCTTGGATTTAGTGTTGTACAAGAGCTCTGTATGAGCTCAAAAGTGTCTCTCTCTCACCAGTAGAAGTTGGTCCAATAAAAGATATTACCTCCTCTACCTCATCTCTCTAAAGAGAAATCCTGGCATTTATTAGATGTGGTCAGTGCCTTGAAGTTGTATTAACACAGTTCTCAAAAGTTTCAATAAGGCTCTTCGTATGTTTTGTTTTTGCCGACTAAGAAATTACAGAAGGTTTCCTGATTGATGTTAAACTAGTTAGATATGTTCCTGCCATAAAGAAATACACATTGCTGGTCCTCTGAGGGTTGAGGCCCATTTCACTAACATTATTGTGCTTTCCTGGGATGAAATAAAGTCAGACAGAACACAGTAAATTAACTCTGTCTGGAGATCCTTGGCTACCTTTACTAGATATTATTGTGTGTATATCAGTGTCTCTTTAGAAGCTGCATTCAAACAGTGTCCAGAGTACATTTGTCAGAGAATGCCTCTGCCTAACTCATAGGTGCTGGAACCAGGGGTGCAGAAGGATCTCCTGGCTTGAAGTGGTTTCCATTATATACAGGGATTGCAGTTTGGTTCAGTGGCTCTCAGCACCTTCACTATGCAAATTGTTCCAGCACTCCTGGCCTAACTTGCCTTCAGTGCTTTCCCAACTAGTTCAAACTAGGAAATCCATGAGAAGCAAGAGAACTTTGTTTCCTTACTTGAAAACTGCTCTTCAAAAGGTTTGACCCCAAACTGCAACCCATCCTGTTTATCTGTTGATGGCTATTTTTGAACATTTCATAGTGAATTAGGTTAGTTTGGAGTAAGTAAGGCAGTTCTCATCTGGGGAAAGGAGGCAGGGGTTTCTACGTAGAGAGCTGAGCATCTTGATTCTAAGCTACTGGTTGTGGAAGCTATGATGGACCAGCACGTTAACTCCAGACTTGGGGAGCTTTTTGCAATAATTAAGTTTTATGGAAAAAGCACAATTTTTTTGTTTTGTTTTTCCATTTTGAAACTCAAAATGTCATAAAAATATTTTAAGCAAAATTATGAGGTGTAGTGTTTCCAGCTGACACCCTCAGTTGTCCTCCAGTGGTAGCTGACAATTGTGTCTTTCATGTCTAGTTTCCAATTGAGTCATATGCATAACTTCTTTGTCTGCTTACCTGAATGAAATATAACTCCCTATTTTACTAAGGCATCAGAAATGCTCTACCTTTCTCCTGTGCTTACAGCATCCACTAGCAGTAGATATTTAACAGACTGACCTATGCCTTTACCTATCGCCTAGCCATGTCCAACAATACCTTTGTACTAGTTAGTTTCTCAGGTTCCCTTGACATTTTTTTCTTTTATAGTAATCCACACAAAAACATTTATCATAATGAGAAAGAGACTTCCTAGTAAATAAGCCATATTTGGCCAAGATTTTCAAAAGTAATTAGTAATTGGGGGAGAGGGGGCCTCAGATTTTGATAATCCAAATTGAGACCCCATGAAGGAGCCTGATTTTCAGAAAGTGCTGAGCACCAGATCTCTGAAAATTGGGCTCTTTTAAGGTGTCTCAAGTTTAGCATCCAGAATCACTAGTCTCTTTTCAAAATTTTGACCGCAATTCTAAGTCTGTTTGGACACAGGTAGCCAATTCTAAACTCCTGTTAGACCTGGTCTTATTATTCCTTGCAAATAATATTTGTTAATTTAGCCCTTTCTGCTACCTTCTCTACACCTTTCATTATTTTGTATACTTTTATCACATTTCCTTTTATTCATCTCCCCTGTGAGGTAAACAATCCCAATCTTTCCAATCTCTTCATATGAGAGTTTTTATGTGCCCCTAATCTTGACAGGATAAATGAAACTGTTTAAGCAGGCAAATAAGACATATTTTCAAATGAATTTCAGGGTAAAATATGTGAAACTTCAGGCATTGACCAACCTTTGTAGGACTATCTGGTGGTCATGTAAACACTCTCAAATAACAACTACTATGTCTCCATAAATAGCAGTGGAGGGAAGTTGGCCAGTTTTTTCATTACTGGACTTGCTCTCGTTCACATATGCTGGCATTCTCCTGCTGGCCTCTTCACCCAAGTGTGTTGAGTGAAGAAAGCTTCTTCTATTCTTTTTAAAACTGTGTGTAAACATCAGCAAATGGCTGAAGAATGGGCTGTGTCTTAAGTAGTTCTTTTTCATGGTGTTCTGTTGAAGTAAATGGGTAGACGTGGCGTTTTCTGTGTTTAACTATTACAACGTAACACACAGAATATGCAGTACAAATAAAATGTAAAAACAATTGCGCTTAAGGCAGAATACCTAATAATTTCCGTAACCCTGCTATTTCTCGCCAGACTGAATGTGCTGGTTTTGGACGATGGTAGAAACTTTTTATTAGTTATCTTTTGTGAGTTGTAATTCATTTTTGCAAAGCAGCTAAATATATTTAAATTTGAGGATTTCTAAATATATTTTATTTTAGTCTAGTGGCTTGTCTTGACGAATTTATGATGGCTTAATGTGTAAAGGATGTAGTGTGTCCGTCCATTTACACAGTAAACTAGTCTTGCCCCTACATGTTGCTACTTTTTCTCCCATTTAAGTAGTGCTCATAATGTTTTGTAGCACTTTCTTCTCTGTTTTCTTAGCAGTGTGCAGTCATACTACGTTAATCCATGTTTGGTTTATCTAAATGTCTTACTGCCCAAAAGGTTTAAATGGTTATAAGCTACATGGTACATATATGTGCTATTCACTGGATGATATTGAAGTGTTTGGTTTGGGATTTTGTTTGTTTGTTTGTTTAGCAGGGAAAAACTGGTGCTTTCAAATTGATTCAGCCTAATCATTTATCAGACTACTATTTATTAAAATGTTTAACAAGGAATCAGCATATGAGTTACCCATTAGTAACCCCTGTAGTATTTAATGGAAATGATATTTTATAAACCCATGTTCAAGTTCTACAACATAAAAGTATACTGCTTATTCATTTGTACTGTCCTCCAAAAATTTTAATGGATTTGTAGTTCAGAAATGGTACAGATGAAAGAAGAAAAAGGCCTCAATCATTATTAAATAGCAGCAATTGAAATAATAATTTGGTGCATGAGATTAACCAAAAGATGTAAGCCATTTTGCGGAGGGCGGGGGGGGAGGGAAGAGAGGGTCATCCAAATCCTGGCTTGTTGGACAAAATCATTGAACTTTTTGCTACAGCCTTTATTCAGTCTCATTCAGGAGATATTACAGTGCACTGCAGAACCAAAACTTAAGTCAATGGGAATTGCCTGTATGTTTCTGAGGGTGGAATTCGGGCCTTAACTGTTCCAATCTTGGTATCATGATCATTCCTAATCACTGAGGAGGGATCTGGTAGATGTCAAGTGAAGAGAAGAATAGAACATGCATCCTTCACCACTCAAGCCAAACAATGAAAGAAGAATATGGTGATGTGAGAGAATTCTCCTTGATTCCTAGGGGAAATAAAACAGGAATTTGATTTAAAAAATAAAGAAACTAGAAAAACATTACCAAAAATTCTCATCACAGATTGTCCACTAATAAAATATGGGGTATTACAAGGCTGTTATGTTAGTTTTTCTTGTTGCATCTTTCCATCACTTACTCTGCATTTTGAATGTATGTGATGCTTGCAGCACTAAAGAGTCTTAAAATAAGACTTTTTTCCAGGAGTCATTATTGTATCTATAGGATAAAAAGGTATAGCCATAATTATGTGTTACAAAGAATACATTCTGCTAGATAGTTAACCAGGTGAGGTTAAACAAAATAAGATGAATTCTGGGCTTTTTAGAATACTGACAGTCTTCATTTTAAGCTACAACCTAAAGTGCTTTATCCTGAGATTAGGTATTGTGGCAGAAGCTAAAACTGCCTTTTTCTCTTAACTGTGCCAGAATACAACCTCCTTTTCTTTTTGCGCTAACAAGACTGCTTTACCACCACAGCCCACTCTAAGTAATTAAATCAATCCTTTGTACTTACCGTATTCTCCTCTAGTGACGGTACTAGATCTGATTATATGCTTCATGCATATTCAAAGTACGGCACTGACAGCTCTTTAATGAGCTCTTACTTAATCAGTATGAACAATGTTCATCTTGTTCTTTTTTTCCTCATACATTAGAGCTAGGAACAGTTGGGGAAAAAATGAAACATCCAGCATTCATTTGAAAAATATATTGTACTTTGAAAAGTGTCTAAGCTGGGGAAGTTGCATTCTGCCCTTTAAAAGTCTGATGGACAAATTGGATTACTAGTATTGGATTAAATAACAAATGGTTAGAGGAGAAATGAGAAAAGCTCGCTGTGATCACAGGCTTTAATATTTTTTGTTACTTATAAAGCTGAAGGGGTCTTTAACCAGTTATTAAAGTCAGGATTAATATGTAATGGTCCAACTTACTAGCATTAAAAGGGTTTGAATTTTTTTTCTTAAAAAAAATTAAAACAATGGTGTAATGCATGTATTATAGAAAAAAAACAATTTTAAGTTGAAGATCTGTGGGCTATTTATAGATTTCCATCATCTTGTACTGGCTCAGATAAAGGGTTTGCACACACAGTATCGATTTGTTCTAGGACATGTTTTTCACTTCATTTAAATAATCTGTGTTGTATTGTTTCTCCAGAGAGCAAAGCGGATATTTTCACATTTTGAATTTTTAAACATTTGTACTTGAATGATTTCAGTAATCATTTGAACTTGGAAAATAAACACATAGCAGTTGAACAGTTTTACTAAGTGGAAGTGTGAAATTAGTTGTGGATGAGGAAAATCCTTGTTTTTGTTTTTATTTAGAAATAGTAAGTGTAAATTTAACTTTCAAATATCACTGCTGCATCAGCATTTCAGCATTCAATTTTCTTCATTGAAAGTGTTTTGTATGCACTCTCTATAGAAGAAAACAGTGTTAAATTGAGTAAACTAGCTAGTAGTACTATGTTGCTTGAGAGTAGCAATTTTAAAATTATTTATGTTGTCATGTATCTTACCTTGCTCGTATTTAAGTTGTATGTACAAGAATTTAAAAGCCCTTGGTCAAAAAAATAAGATACCCCAATCTATTGCTGTTAATATTGCACACATGTGTCATTTCACTGATCAAAAAGGCCTTCACTGGGCTACAATTGGCCTTTTTCCAAATTGCAAGCTTTTTCTCAGCTTTTTCTTTTTACTCTTTCTTCTTTTGTTGCTGCCCTGGGATTTGTGCCTATCGCAGCCGATATCACATGACCAGTGTCAGGGCATCACATGGTCCAAAAGGAATACAAAAACAGCTGCCCTAAAAGACAGATTAAAAATACTGTAAAACAGTAAAGACTTTGTTGACTCACTTTAAAAAAAACCTGTGACTACTTCATACAATAAAATGTAAGCATAAAAATATTGAAGATGTGCAATCTGTTTTCGTTAGGCTCCAAATTGACAAATACAGCTTTTCCCTAGATTTATTTGAATATATGCTGTTGTTCACTTCATTTTACTTTTAGAAGGAGAAAATCTACATTAGTAGCTAGTCTAAATTGGTGAAGCTCCATTGAATGTCTCTATGTCCCCATTTTCTGTTTGTTGAAAATGGTTTGCAGACTCATCCATTAGAATGGTATTGTGGTGTAATATATTTGTGATAGCATCTTTCATCCAAAGATCCCAGAGCCCTTTACAAACAATGAATTAATTAATCAATTAAATGTTGTCATCTGTGTAACTAGTTATTAGAATTTTTTTACCTGCATGCTAAAGGGGGAATCAAATTTCATGCTGGTGGGCACAGATTGATTGTTTGTAGGGATAAGAAAGTAATCCCCCATGCTCCTGCCCACCATAAAAAGAAAGTGAGCTGACTCAGTGCAGTTCAGGGGAAGGATATATTGAGTACAGTCTAAGTCTTGCAGCAGGAACCCCCACTAGCTGGGCCAATGCGACAATTCCTCTGATCTTTAATTTGTTATGAAAAACATCCTTATTGTCTCAAAACTCTCTGGAGGGAATTCTGAGCCATAAAACAGTACTGTAAATGCAGTACAGCGATGGCCTCATGCCGCCCTGCAGAAAAACCCAGGAGAGGAGGTTTTGAGGGAGGAAATCTCTACAAGACAAAGTTACTCCCCTTTTGTTCCCACAGACTGACACTTCCCCTCTTTGCTAAGAAAAAACTGCTGGGGCATCCCACCCTAGGGATCTGTGGGAGGTAGGGGACATGCCCTTCCGCCCCCAGCAAACCCTGGACCGGACCAGCCTGGCTCCAGTGCAGGAGCATTCACAAGGAACTACTTTTAAGTTACAGGGAGGTACCCAGAGAAAAAGATAATAGAACTCAGTCTGTATTACCTTTTCTGTTTAAACAACATGGAGCCATAGGGAGCCAATATGTGTCCCCATCAGCCTTGTCCCTGATTAGTCCACTCTTCTTCCTGTGTGGATTCCAGATCCATTGGGCTGCATGGGGGAAAGGCAAACAGTGTCATGGAGGCAGCTGGCCTTCCTTTCCGTGCAGCAGGGGAATAGCCATGGGAAAAGGGCAGTTCCTTGCACAGATCTGGCTCCAAGCATTTGCGTATGATTTGGGAATGTTTGTAAGACAGGCCGTGATGCAAATGTTAACACCCAAAAATTGGGGGTTTCCTCTTAGAACAAAAGCTCACTGCGTTTTTTGGTACATTACCAGCTTCTGATGTAAGCAAGCTTCCTCACCACAACTAGTGCCCCGTTACTGGATATTAATATAATGATACCTTCCCCTCATATATAGTATCTTTCCTCAGAGATTTTAAAGCACTTTACAAACATAATGAATTAATCCTCAACACACATATGAGGTAGGTGTTATCCTCATACTAGAAATGGGAAACTGTGAGATACAGGCCCAAGGTCACAGAGTGGCAGAGCTGGGAAAAAGACCCCCGAATTTCTGACTTTATTCTTTTACTGTAGCCACTGGGCAAAGCTTCTTCCCAAATTATGCATTTCTTAAGGTTAAAATTCATTAGATTTGCATGCCGGTAACATGTATATAAAGACTTGTCTCTCCTTCCACTTAATGTTGAGAAAGACAGGGGCTGATTGGTTGCCACAAATGGAGGCTGCGTATATTTGTGCAGATGTCATGACTCCAGTACCCTCGGAAACTGAGTCCCAATCCAATTCCTGTTAAAATCAATGGAGAGACTCCCTTTGACTTCAGTGAGGACTGAATCAGGGCCCCAGTGCGGAGAAGCTATGTCAGCTATCTGAAATAGCAGCCATAAGGGTAGGGAGGCTGGCCAGCAGCCCAGCACACTGGCCAAGGGTTGTGGGCGGGATTTCACCTCCCCAGCTACTCTGTGCATTCCATCCACGTGGAGCCTGAATACTCTGGGTTTTTGTGGATGCAGTTAATTTCACCCATCGTAATGTTTTGTTGTTTTTCCACCTCTTGTATAATCGTATTATCTCTGGGGAGGGTTTAAAGGTAGAACTCTTTTTCTTCCAAATGTACTTAGTGTTAATATGATCTATGAGTACATTAAGAGGCACTAAAATATATATGCTGAAGAATATCAGCTTTAAAAGATTGACTTGTGATAGTTCAACAGTGTTAGGCTGCCGGTCTTGAAGTCTAATCTTTTGTTATTGTTCACATTTGAAAAATTACCTTTTAATGCCCATTAACATGAGAGATCTCATGTTCCAAAAACTGATACTAAAGTTTGTTGTCCAGCTTGTGAAAAGTCTCATAAATAACAAATGTGCTTATTTTATAGGACGGAACACAGAAGAAGAAGAAGCTATGATGCAGGAATGGTTCATGTTGGTTAATAAGAAAAATGCCTTGATAAGAAGAATGAATCAGCTTTCTCTTCTGTAAGTATGGATGGCTGAGCTTGTTCCAAGAGGTTGATTTATCAGTATGTTCACTTAGAATATAGATGCTAAACTTTTTTGCTTTATTTCCATTAGACTTCAGAATGTTCCTCAAAGATGCAAAGTATGTGTGATTTGTGTACATATCAAGTAATTTGTTTTTCTCATATTTCAGACATGAAAATGCAAAGCATGCAATGATGCAATATTAGTGAGAGCTGTGAAAAAATATGAAATAGCAAGTGCATTTATATGTTCAAAGGCAAAAACAGTAGAATAAAATTACTTTCTAGAAATTTGAAAATATACTTGAATTGTACTTGAAATATAACATACAAATTTTATTTTCAGGGAAAACTTTAATTTAAAGTTGATATTTGCCCTAGTCAGTAATATTAGATCATTCACTAGTTTAGCAATGTTGGAGTGTGGGAAAAAGCATATTAGTGAACCTCACGTGAAGCAATGTTACGACAGACAATGCAGAGCAAGTTTTGTGTAATAAAGACATGTAAACCTTCTTCAGAAATGGGCAAAACTGGCACAGTTATTAGGAGCATAGAGGATGAGAGAAAGCATAAATACCATTCATTATTAGACTGGCATTTGGCCTGTTGAGGTCGTCATTTCTTGTTTAGTTTTTCTCAGTTTACTGATGATTTTCTTTTAGTATGCCACCTACTGTAGATATATGCATGCTTCCTTTATAACATAGTGAAATGAGTTGTACGTTTACGAATTTCTTTCCATGTCTGAACTTGATAGAAGATTCCACCTTAAAATATTAAGCTTTCTAATCCTGGGTCTAATTTTCTGTATTCGTTAGGTCAGAATTTACATGGGATAATACTTTAAGTGTTCATACTATCTTGGTGAATTGTTTGAATCTGGAATTTGTTCTTTAGATAGGAGAGAATATGTTATACTTAGGACATAGCACAACAGCTGCTCCAAGGATGAATATTTACTAATTATGTACAATAGTACAAGGAAGTTAAACTAAATCCAGAAAAACAGACGTTACAGAAAAGGAAAAAAGCATCATTACTGAATATTCTACCTGAGGACGGTTTTAAGTTTGTGTATCATTTGTTTGGAGTAGCTTAAAGTTGAAGAGAAAAGTCAGTTATGAGTCCTAAAATCAATGTAAGTTAAAGGTTCTTTTAAGTGTTTAATGATTTAGTAATTAACATATTGATGAACTTTTGCAACTTGCCTAGGGAAAAAGAACATGACCTAGAAAGGCGGTACGAACTGCTGAACCGAGAGTTAAGAGCAATGCTTGCTATCGAAGGTAAGCAATATTAACAAATGAAATTACTTAACAGGAAGACCAATAAGAAGGCCCACCTGAGAATGGAGTCAGCTATCCCATAATTCAAAATTATAGTGTGCAATAGATACTGTAGGTCTTTACTCATATCCATAAATTATATGCAAAGAAATTGTTTCAAGCATTGGATTCAGAAAGCAAGATCAGAAACATGATCAGAAACTAAAATATATTTGAAAAAACATTGGCGGGGGGGGAAGCACAATGTATTTTTACATTTTATTTATTGTTTTTGTTACACCAAAGTAATTTTAGTTTTGATGCAGTGATGTTGCTTATCATAAAGGGATGACTCACATACATGAGATTCCTTATTTCTACATTTTAAATATTTTTATAGCAATATTTCCACTGTGGAAACAAATCTCTTCAGTCTTCATGATAACATATTATACACGTGTCAAGTAAATATTTCCTCACACACAACATTAGGGTTAGTGCAATCCATTGCACATATTTTCTTCATTCTCTGTAGCTCTCTAGAGTCTAGTCACCTTACCTGAATGAAAACTCATGGAAAGATTGACATGGGGATAAGTGAAACAATTTCATACTTTCCATAACGATTTTAAATGAATTTGTACAGTAATCCTAAGGAGGATTCATAATAAATATAAATATCCAGATAGCTTAAACTATTGCTTACATTATATTGTTATTTAAATATCTTAAGTGTTTTATAATGCTGCTCTACGTATACCTCTCAGTCACAAATGCTGGCTTGTAGTTCAAAGATGTTTGCTTAAAAGTTAATCCTTTGGGCTCTGTAAAATGGACCTTTTGTCTAATCAATGCAAATTGATTTTGCTATTCTATATTGACCTCTTAGCCCTTTGACTGTCCATGGTAATTTCTTTCTTCACCTGATAAGGTACCTGATCCATAATAAATCAATTCTAATTAGTTTGGAGACTTCACTGGAAGCATAAGTTTGTAGGAGAAAGACATGGGTTGTCAGGTAGCTTTTTCATATCTATCTGTCTGTTACTATATTCTTGGGTAAGGCTCAGTGCACCATACTCTTGAATAAAACCTGAGTTCAAAAATGTATACGGAGGTAACAGTTAATTAGAAATTAAATGTTTAAAACAGATTAAAATCCTTTTTAACAAAAAAATAAGTATTGGGCATAAATTATACAGTAATGTCCCTTAATTATTTTTATTGTGGGCACTTCAGACCTAAGATCTTTGAATGCCTTACAGAATATGACAAATCACACATATACCTTAATAAAATAAAATTAAAAATAGCAAAACATCAGAAAGATCAGATCTACTTGTTAAGTTAATAATGATGAAATATACAGGATTTTTCAAGAAAAACAATATGTTTGTTTACACTACTCTTATTATGTTTTAAAATTTTGAATTGTATTAAGATTATTGTTCTCTTAGGAACTTTTTAAAGAAGGAGTTATCCAGATACGATGATTGAGGCTATAAGTATGTTACAAGATGCTGAAATATAGTTTTGAAAAATGGACTCTGGGTGTATATGTAGGTGCTTTCAAGCTTTTCGTGTCTGATTTATGCTTGATTTCAAATATTAATTAAGAGATTTTTAAAATAACACAAAACGGATCTGTGTAGTAAGGTTGACTGTAGAAGAAATTAGAAAGTTAAATAGGCTAAATGAGGAGTTCAAGGCAGTATGTATCAGAGAGGCTAATGAACAGTTGGTGCCATATAAAAGATGTGAAAGGACAAATCTAACACGTGTACAGATATTCCCACTCCAAAACATATGGACACTAAAAAATAGCAGGGTGGTTTCTGTTGGTATGTTTGTTTATTTAAAGTGATTGTTAGTAGCAATGTTCTGATTCATACTGGTACTTTAAAAAACAAGTCTTTGAGAGGTGATAATTACTGTTTTGGTGAATTGCTCTAACTCTTCCACCCGTGACTCTGCTGTTTAAAAATCTATCAAACAATTTACTTAGCTAGTTGATGACAGGGGAAAAAGAGACTTGCAAAAGGTAGCAGCCTGCTGATTGTAGATAAAGGCAGTTTATTGGCCATCGGCCTGCCCTGCTAGTCTGAGCAGTGTGTGGGCAGTACTGTAGTTTAGAGGTGCTGACCGTTATAGTGTTCAGTGATGTGGAGACAGTGTCCTCTTAGCCAACTGTTAAAATGGATGCATATGCAGTTGAATAGCCTTTTGGAGTGTTAAAAGCACTTCACACAGAACACATGAATGGCCAACAGTGGTAAAAAGAGGAATACTTTTTTTTCCCATTTAGCAGCAGAGATAAGAAAAG